ATATAATATATAAAATAAATATCCAAAATTAAACTTTTAAATATAAAAATATTATAAATAAGAAGATTAAAGAAAAAATTGTAATTTATAAACAATATATAATTTATAAACATATATTATTATATATATATTATATATTATATATTATATATATATTATATATTATATATATATATATATTATTATATATTATATATTATTATATGTTATATATTATTATATACATAATTTGTAAACAAAATTTTTAAATGGTATAATTTATTTCGAAAAAAAATTGAGATTTCTTATGTTATATTATTATAATATTATAATGTTTCAAAACTTTATTGTTTTGTTTATAAATTACATTGTTTAATTTTTTCATTATTTTAAAAATAATTAATAAATTAATTAATAAATTTTGATATGATATGATCTAATAAAAATAATTAATAAATTTTTTAATTTTTAAAGTATTTTTAAGTTCTTTGAAAACTTTTGTTGAAATTATTTTTAAATTGTTCTTAATTAATAGAAAAAAGGAAACTATTTTGATTTTTTATATTTTTTTATATTATACATTATATTATACATTATTTATAATGTTTTTATAATTCATAATTATAAATGATTTCATATATTTTATTTTATTTTTAATGATTTTATATATTTTATTCCTGTCTTTTTACAACAAGATATTTTAAATAAATTATTGTCTTTTTTAAAAGTTTAAATTACGTTTAAATTATAATATTTATATTTTATGAAATATAACTTCAATAATGAATATTTATTATCTATATATATATTTTTATATTTTTTAGATATTTATTAATGTTTTTTTAAAAATAGATAAGTATCGCAATTTTTTTTTAAATTATTATAAATTATTATAGATTATTATTTTGGATTTTTAAGAATATATATATATATATATATATTATATTATATTATATTATATTATATTATTATATATATATTATAATTAATATATATATATATTATTTAATGAAATATATATATATATATTTAATTTATAAAATATATATATATATTATTTAATGAAATTATGTTATGTTATAAATATATGAAATTCTATAATATATTTTTTTTAAATTTATATATATATATAAATACTATATATAAATTTACTTTTTAATTCACAATATTAATAGCTAGTAAATATTATACAAATAAAAAAATATAGAAGTAAAAAAGATACATTATAATATATCAATTATTAAGAGCATGGACATGTTAAAAATTAGTATAATAAAGAATTAATATATGTATGCTTAATTTTTCATATTTATGTTTAAAAGATGAAAAATATTATCTGTAACAATATTTGTCACAAAAAATAATTAACTAATTAAAAAATATATTTATTAAACTAATTATGAAGTATATTTATAAAATAAGAAAAAAAAATACAAGTATGACAAAAAGAGATTAAATCAAAAAAACATAATAATAATTGATAGCCAAGAATTTAATCAGCAAAATGCAATTCATCAGAAAATCAACAAAATATACAAGTATTGAAATATATATTATTAAATTTATGTATAAATATGACGACAAATCAAAATATATGTAAAAATGAAAAACAAGAATTAATATATGTTTTAATAGTTTCATAAATATTATTTAATAATAAAATAACAAATACAAAAACAATCATAATATTAGTAAATCATTTTGTTAAATTAATCATTTTAATAGAAAATCTAAAATATAAATAAAAGTTATGATATAGAATTGTAATGATTTATTATATTAAATTTATTACAATAATATAATATCAGAAAAAGAAGATTTAAAATATTTAAGTTATATAATAATAAAATTTTATTTTCTTCGCTGGATAAAAAATTTGAAGTAAAAATATAAAAGAAATAAAAAACAAAATAAATATATATAGAATGATTAATTTATAATATAAATAAAATCATAAACAGATAGCTTGAAATTAAAAGAAAATCAAAGTTATCTAAATTGTATTCATTTTCGAGCAAATCACTTAAAAATTTTTCAAATACGAAATTTCAAATGAAATTAACTAATTCTTTATATAATATATGGATGAATTGTTGATAAGAAATTATTTTTTTATATGAAAATAACAAAAAAATAAAATATATTTTTTTCCATTTAAAAATTATTTTATAAAATCGATTTTGAAAATTCATTCGATTATATAATTTCTTAATTGCACACATTCAATCTTAATTTTTCAAAAATAGGGACTTAAGCAATATTAAGTCTTATTTTTTGTTTATTTTTAAATGTAGAGTAATTGATAGTTTATTTATATCTAATCAAGAATTAACTAATTTCATTTACATTTGAAAAAATTTTTAAATTTGATTTATATAATATACAAGCAAAGTTTCGTATGAAAAAATTTTATTTTATATTTTCGCTTTTTATATTTTTTAATTTAAATAATAAAATCTCTAGTCTTATTTATACAAGAATTATGGACTATTCCGTATTTCTAAGACTTTTATTAACTAATTGGAAAAGATTCAAGACTAAAAATTAATCTGAAATATATATCTTCCTAACTATTGTGAATACATAGAATACATAGAATTGGATTGCATCAAAATTCAATGAAGAAGATTAAAACATAACAGGCAACAATGTTAAGAAATGGAATAAATGATTTCATGATGCCATTAATGAAGATATGATAAAATAGTGGTTACCACTAAGATAAAAAAAAAAATAATTTTAAAAATAAATCAAATTAATCGCATTAATAAAATTGATTGCTATACAAATATTAACAGAAAATTAAAAAAAAAACATTTGTGCAATAAATTATGAACATTTTATAAATTTAAGTTTTAATTATATTTTATATATACAAATAATGAATATATCATATATAATGCATATATAATTTTATAATATATAGTATAATATTCTATAATATATACAATATATTATATAAAATAATATAAGATAGAATAGTATATATATGAATGGTATGTAGAAAAAAAAATGTAAATGAATGAATGAAAATAGAAGATATAAGTGAACATATAATAATTATAATATATAAGTAAACATATAAGTTTCTAATGTCAAAAAGATAAAATAATTATATTATAAATTATAAAATAATTATATAATAATTAATAATAATAATTATATTATAAAATAATAATAGATTTGAATATTATGGATATTCAATATAATTCGTATAATACCAAAAAATATTATTTTTATAATTTAAAATAAATATTTAAATATGAAAATTTAATTGATTAATAATTATTTTTCAATCATTAAATCACATTAAAGATGTTGAAATTATAATTATAATTAAAGAAGTTCTGAAATTAAATACATATAAATTTCGTAATATATGTATAGCAGTAATAATTCTTGAAAAAAAAAAAATTACGTTTCATAACATCTTATCTTTTCTCTTACGTTCTATCTATTTCATATTTGAAAGATCCTGATTCGTTTAAGATACAGTCACGAGTTCAAAACAACCGTTAATTTTCTAATGTATTAATGATTATAATACAAATAATTTTGTTTGCTATTGGAATTTTATTATAGTACATAAATAAATATTTAATAAAACTTTTTACTTTTTCTTAATATGTAAAATTTTTCATATGAAAAATTTTTTATTATAATATAATTATAATACTGTTTAACAAATTATTTATATATTGTAATTTATAATTTATAATATATAATTTATATATATAATTTTATAATTATAATTCAATTAAGAATATAATAAGAATTCGCTGGTTTCTGCTCATATATAAAATATTTAATGGAATATTAATTAAAAAAGAAACGATTTCGAAATAATTAAATTTCTTAAATTATTTTAAATTAAGTAATTGAACAATGAATAGGTTCAATTAAATAATTAAATGATAATTAAATGTAACATAAATTTCGGATGTGTTACACTATTGACTATCATAAATGATATAGAATTACCAATATATAATTGGATCAAGCTACTTGAATAATTGGTTTCTTACTTTATAGTTACAGATTGTTATGAAATCAAATTTGCGTATCAGTTTCCATGAATCCGCCTTTCACAAAAAAGTCGTCATACCGTGAGAAAAGTAAAGTGAGAGGAGAACAGCTATGCAATGATATACATTTTTCTTTCACATTTTAAACTTATGAGTTATGAATTATATAAACATGACATAAAACAAGTAATATTCATCTGTATGAATTTATTTTAATATATTTATTAAAATAATTTCATGAAAAGGCTATATTGTAAATTATAATAATCATTTTTGGAATATTTAAATAATAAATATTTGATGGTTTGATAAAAATAATATATAAAATCTTATTATACTTGTTTTTTTTAATATACAAAATATTAATAAATAAATTGTAACAAATAAAATGTATATAAGTGTGTATATTAAAAATAATGTATCTTTATGAAAAAATCAATCAAATATATGTACATATCTATATATTATATAATGAAAATTAATTAATATTATTTAATATAACTTATTATTTATTTTATTATTATTATTATTTATTATATTATTATTATTATTTATTTATTTTATTATATTATTATTATTTATTTATTTTATTATATTATTTATTATTGTTTTATTATTATATTATATTATATTATATTATATCATATAACAATAATATTATATAATAATACATGTAATATATGTTATACTATATGACAATATATATTATATATAACAAGAATATATTATATGTAATTTATTTTATTTCTCTTATTATTTTTTTTTTCTTCGTTTTTTTTTCAAATAAATAAATTTCGAAGAAATTAATTTACTTACGAGGATAACTAGCTGGTCAATTATCATTGACCCAAGATATCAATTACTGCAAAACCAATCATTCCCATTTCAGGTTATTACACTAATAAGCGCAAAAAAGAAATGAATTAGAAAAGAGAAAGAAGAGGAACAAGCTGTAGAACTAACATAGTGAAAGTACTTTAAACTCGAATCACGTGCTTCAGTTCTTTTAGATATATCATCAAGTGAACTCTTACAAGCAAGTGCAATATCATCTTCACTATTCTTCAATTTATTGATTCAGGTAATTGTTTTAATTATCATAAATGCAGTGTATATATAAAAGTTATAATGAATGCATCAAATTAATTTGTAATATTTAAATAAATAATTGGAATATTTTTGTTAACTTTTGAAAACAAAAGTTTTGTGATAATATACACATTGAACATTTCAGAAATTAAATTTAATATCTGGTAAATATGTAAAAATATATTTTGAAGAATATATAGCAACATTTTCTATAATTGGTTTATATTAACATTTTTTTTCTTTAATATTATTAATATTATTATAAATTGAAATTATAAAAGTATAATATTTAATTTGAAAAAAGTCTGAATTTCTTTAATTATATTTATAAAAGATAATTATTATTAAACAAAAAACATTACAAAGAAGAGTATATATTTGAATAGAAGTTTCATATCATATTTTATTATATATATATTTATCTCTTTCCCTCTCTCATATATATATATATATATATATATATTATATATACTAACTTATTTTAAAAACAAAGAAAAGAAATAGAAAAATATTTATATAAAAATATTTAATTATTAAAAAATTTTTAGATACAAAAAAATAAATCATAAAGGATTGGAAAAGAGTCTTTAGTATGATAAAAAAAAAAATAAATTGATATGAGTTCGATAAAAAATCTTATATTTTATTAAATACTATATTTTATTAAAAAATAATCGGAAACAATCGGAATAAAACAAAGTGTTGTAAAATTTAAAAGAACTGGTGGTGAAATTATTCTATATGTATATATATTTATATACATATATATATAATTAAAATAGAAGATAATATTTTAACATTGTGTAAAATAATTTATCATAAATTATTAATTCTATTGAATTTAATAAAAATATTTGATTTTAATAAAAGTAATAAAGAAGCAGTATTTCAGCAAAACAAAATAAAATATTACTTCAAAACTTTATTTCAAAATAATATTAAAATACAAAAATGTAAATTATTTTTTATGTTATTAATATAAATAGAAATAAAATCTTACTAACTCTAATCATATTTATCAGATTCATATTATGTTTATAATTATTCAATTTTTATTATTGAATCAAGAAAATCATTAATAGTTTTATTGTTTTTTTCAGTTTTAATTTTAGTTTTTTTAGTTTAAATTATATGTTTATATTTTTATTCGTCATTATATATATTATATGAATCTAAATACATATTAATATAATTATATGTGTGTATAATGTATATAATATACATATAATATAGTATATATTTAGTATAGTTTTTATTTATTATATATTTATTTCTGAATATATATTTATATTACATAATTATTCCTGAATAATATCGAATAATTCTGAATAAATATTATATATGTACAGATTATAAATATATACTGAATAAATATTATATATATACAGATTTATTTATTTATTATATTTATATATATTTTATTTATTATATTTTATACGATATTTTAAAAAATATCTTATAATATCTTAAAAAATTGTGAAATTATGATTCTTAAAAAAAAAATGTTATTTTTATAAAAAAAAATTACATTATAAAATGATCAATAACTGCTGATATAACTAAAAAAAAATATTTTTATATTAAAAAATAAATCGAAAATATAGAATTAAATTTTATAAAAATTATAACATATTGTTTTCGGAAAAATTAATTTTAAATATTTATCAAGTAAACTTGCATTTAATTAATTATAGCTTATTCTTTCGATTCAATGTTTATTGTGCTAAATAATTAAGAATGCACAATAAAAGAAAATATTAACTTATAATAAATTTTATTATTAAAAATTACATAAATTATTGAAAATATTGACTATTTTGTTGAATATATAATTTATTTTACAAATTAAATTTCTGTTTTTTAATTATTTTGCTGTTTTGATTGATTGAACAGGAAACTGATTCTTTCTTTTAATTAATCTAAATTTGTAATTTCTTCTGAATAAATATTGACTTTTTTTTTTGAAGATTAGATTGATGTGATAGAATTTGGTTTTCTCATTTCACTTTATTTGACTTTTATTTATATCAAATTTAGATGGATTCACATAAAATCAGTTGTTTATTATGCATAAATTATATTGTGTCATAGAACACAATGTTATTCAATTAGACAACATTTTCAATAATTTCTATAATAATAAAATTTATCATAAATTAATATTCTAAATTTTAATCTTGATTAATTAATATAATAAACATAAATCTGAAGAGAATAAACTACAACGAGATACATTAGTAAAATGTATTCAGCGAATATTTAAAATTGATATTTTCAAAAATTAATTTTCATACGAAAAAATTTTATTTTATTATGTTTGATTAAATTTTTTGATATAGAATTACTTTTTTTCCTATCGTTTTCCTACTGTACGATCATATATAGAAATAAATAAAAAAAATATATTTATATTTAAATATATTTAAAAATATATTTAAATATTTATATATTTTAAATATATTAATATATTTATATTATATATTTATATGTTATAAAAAAAAATTTTATATTTCATTTATAATATTAAATTTTATATTTTCTTTATCTATTTTTCTCTATATTTTTAAGTTTTGTTTATATGTTAAAAAGAATTGCAGAAATAATCTCTTATAAAAAATGATTAAGGAATTATATATTTAGGAATTATATTATCTTTACAAATTTCAAGTAAAAATTCCTTTTTTTGCATAAATATTCTCCTATAATAAATCTTTCTGTATACTAAATTTTTAGAAATAATATAAAAAAAATTATTGTGAAAAAAGTTATAGTAAAAACTGAATTATACATATATATTTAATCATGTGACTTCTATATTAAAAAATAATAATATCATAATATAATCTCAATATTCAATTTTCATTTGAAATTTTTTGTTATAAATAATAATACTGAAAAAATCAAAACATCAAAATCAGATCACTCTGTATTTCAGTTTATTAATAAATTTATTTATAGATAAATTTATAATATAAATATAAAATTTATGAATAGTTAATATAAAATTTAATTAGTTAATATTTAGTTAATATAAATTTTAAATATAAAATTTAAATATTAATAGTTAATATAAAATTTATAAGTAAAATTTAAAAAAAATTTTATAAATTTATTTTTTAAATAATAATATTTTGTAAATACTTTTATATTTTTATATAACTTAATAATAAAAAAAATATGAATCATATTTTTATTATTATTTTTATTTGCTTTAGTATTTATCATTTTATTTAAACACATATTTTATTGAAATATATGTTTTAAAAAATAATATTAGAAGTATTATTAAAATACTAGAAGTATTTTAATAATTGAAAAATATAAAATTAAAAAAATTATTTATTAAAATAATTTTTATTAAAAAAATAATTCTTTTCTAATCAAAATAAAAGAAAAATATAGAAGAAATAAAAAGATTTTTTTTCTTAACTATGAATTGATTTTATTAACTAATGAATTAACTTTTTTAAATATATATATGGAGTTAAATATATAATACATCATTAAAAATTTCTGCATTACATTATTTATATGTATATTTAAAATCTATATTCCGTCTAATTTTGACTATATATGTATATTATATACTAGAAGAATATATTATAGTAAGAAAATAATAAAATTAGTATATAAATTAGTATAATAAAATACGAAATAATCATATATTTATATTGTAACTTTTATATTTTTTTTTCTTTCACAATTAATTAAAAAGAATTAAATATTTAAATGTTTTTTAATTATTCAAAAGAACTTAAAAATTATTTTGTTTGTATTATGTGTAATTGGCTTGTTACACAAGTTTTGAAATTGTTCTAATTATTTCAATTTTAATTATGAGAATCAAAAAATATCTGAAGGTGCTAAATCAGAAGAATAAAGAAAATAATTAAAATATATAACTTAATAATAAAAATATATTATAATAATATAACAATAAAATATGAAATTATAAAAATTTCTTTTTTATTAAAAACCATTATTATTACTATTATTATTAATGTACAATTTCAAGATGATGATTGTTACGCAATTCATTTGAATATATATTAATAACATTATATTAATAACATAATTTGAATATATAATAATAAAATATTCATTTGAATATATATTAATTTTTTTATAAAAAATAAAAAAGAAATTTATATTTCCTAAATTTTAGCAGACTTTATTTGATTGCATAATTAAAATTAAAATTGAAAAATAAACAATTTCAATTTAAATTAACTGCAATAAATCTAAATCAAATCAATCTTAAATTTATTCAATTCAATCCATTCTATTGACAGAATTAGATTAAAAATATAAACTTCAGTAGTTTCTATAAGGATTAAAGATTTTATTTACTATGCAATATAAAATGAAAGTTTTTATTATCATTGCTATTAAATTTATATACATTATATTATTATTATTATTATTATACATATTATTATTTATATATTATTATATACATTATATATTATATATAATTATTTATACATATATATATACATATATACATATATAATATATATCTTAAAAATATTAGAACATCTGTAAACTAAGATTCCTAAAAATTTGTTATATTATATTAGATTAAACTATGCGCTTTATGATTGATCAATATTTTCTAATAACTCGTTAATTAAAACTATAACGAAAGTTTTGAAAAATGTTGTTTGAAATTATCTCAGAAAATCTTCAATTTATGAATGTTCTAACATTTTTGGAAATATCTTGTATATTTATTTAAAAATCATTATATTAATTCATTATAATCATTATATATATTTTTCTGTAATATTACTTTTTATTTTTTTTATATTTTTTATTTTTTATTTTTTTTATATATAACAATTTATATTTATATTTTACAATAAAAGTCAATTACAAAATTAATATGTTATCCAAGATTTTGCAATATATTGATCGCTATATTCAACGCTGAAGTTACATTCATATATATGTATATAAAATACAGGCTACAAAATATGACTAGTTAGACAA